GCCCCTGGGCCCCCCCAGCACAGAGCTTCCCCGCACACCCATCTCTGCATCTCTTTCAAAGAGTTTATTAGAAGTAAATATTTACATCTATTGCAAATGGTTAATAGGCAACACGGGACCGAGAGCTCCCCTTGGGTAGGGAAGGACAGCGAGGGCCAACTGCTCACCCCCCACCCTCCGGGGAAGCGGAGAGCAGCCTTCCCAACTGCAGAAGGCTCAGACGAGCCGGCAGCTGGATGAAAGCCCTTTCCCCTTCCAGGACAACCCACAGCAGGCTCCTCCTCTGCCCAAGATAAGAGCTTCCCGCTCCCCTAACACTGGCTCTGACTAGGCTGAAGGATGGATGGGAAAAAGGCTGCAAGAGACGTGAGGCAACTGCTCCTACGGCTGGGTCAAAGAGCACGCTCCTCGCCTTTGGGGTGGGAACAGACGGTGCTGTCCAGAAGGGAAGGTCAGAAGGAGACCATGTTGGATCATGCCTCCTGGCTCTCACCCTACAAGGGCAGGAGGGGACAAAACTGAGCACCTTTTTGCTGTCCTGTCGTCCCCAGGCGCCTGACCAGCACAAAGAAGAGGATTAGAAGGAGGATTTCTTGAGAAACACTGCCAGTGCATGGCACACAGGGCATTCCTCACCCCTTAATCATGGGATGCAGTGCTGCTGGGGCAGGAACCACCAGTCCATCCCTACTGCTCCAGAAGCCAAAATCCTCATGGAAGCATCTAGTTCTGGCCTCCCTAGGGGGTCACATTCCCATCCCAAACTGTCCCACTGCAGCAGCCCATTCCTAAATGAACTGGCGGAGCAGATGGGGTTTGTGCCTTGGCTGACTTCCATTCCAGTCTTTGCCCTGGAGCCAGTAAGGCAGCAGCAGTGCTCTAGCTAACCTCCCCTCCTCCCATACAGGCTCTAACTCAGCCGGCAGAGCATAAAGTTAAGAGTACATCCTCTGGGCTTTGAACACGGACCACAGGAGGAGGAGATGCCTGGCACCACGCAGCTCCGAAGATGGCAGTTCCCATGCCCAGCCTATGCTACCCTAGTAAGACTGTTCAGTGGTTCAGGAGGGGAAGTGAAGGGTAAGCGCAGATAGCAGTAGCTCTACTGTTGTGTTCTTCTCAAGGGGCACCTCTTACCCCCTAACTGAAGGGGAGAGGATACCTGTGGTCCATATTACTCTGGAGGGCAGCTCACGGTCCCCTGGGGATCAGGCACACACGGTACGGAAAGCTCCAGGCCTCTCTGCAGGGGTGACAGTGACCTGCAATACCCAGTATTTCTCCCAGCAGCAGTGGAGGTTTCTCAGTTATGGCTTTTTTTTTTTTTAAAGATATAGAAAGAGGTTAGAGATGCTTTACCGAGTGCTCACTAACAAGTACACCTCCCCCCTTGCATCCTCTGTTCAGAAACATCTAACTCTGCCTTCTCTGTAAGCGACGGCGCCAGCTTTCAGCTCTCCCACCAGCGCTGCGGGACAGCCGCAAGCTCCCGGGCTGGGGTTCGCTATGCCAGCAGGCGTACGACGCCATTGTCCGAGCCCAGCAGGAGATGGCATTTTGTGGGCAGCACCGCCAGGCTGGTCAGCGTACCCCGAAAATTCTCCGAGCTCAGCTTGGTTGTGCTGATGGGCAGGGCTGAGGACTCCAGCATGGAGTAGATGCCGATCTTGTTGGCCACGGTGCCAGTGACCAATTCGTTGCCGTAGAGGTCAAATGTGTGGATGGGTTCAGAAGCAGACTTGTAGTGGTGCAAAGGTTTCTGCTCCAGTTCCTTCCAGACAGTCAGGGAATGATCCGAAGAGGAGCTGATTAGCACATTGCCCTCTGCAGCCTGCAGGAGACGAAAGGCCACTGAACCAACACTGCTGCGGTAAAAACTCCCAATCTCATCCCGCAAATGAGATTAGCAGGTAGCTGCCAGTAATCCAACAGTCCCAGCGCAATCCTTTGGGACAGTCCCAGCCATTTCCGAGCAACTGATGGTACTGAGCAGTATGAACAAGGCAGCCGGGCGGACACTGGAAGCTACAGGACTCTGGCAGCTGGCAACCGCCTCCAGCGCTATCCTCCAAGAGATGGGCTGTGTCTCTTCTCAACAACATCCTGACACTGAGCACAACTAATTTATCATCTGTTACTACGGCAGTGGGTAAAGAGATTATCTTGCAGTCTCCCTCTCCACCAAACCACCTGCCAAATTATTTTCCTTCTCAGGAAAAGGAATTGGGAGGCTCTCTCGCGGTAGAAAACACTGCTGAGGGTAGGAGAAGCCTGCTTATTAGCAGAGGCAGTGAGAGGGTAAACAACGCACACCACTGAACTTTGTTTAACCTGCGTTTGGGTCGAGGACACTGGAGCCCCAGTGCTGCTCCCCGAGGGTGGGTAAATATGGACAAGAGTTACTCATTAGAGTGACGTTCTCCCAGGGGGGCTGAGAGCCCCGTGGAGAAAGCAACACATTCGCTTCTTCACGGAAGACCTGTCTCCTCCCTGCCCCTGC